GGCATTCCCTAGCAGCCCTACCTTTAGTCAAAAAGCAGGGGGACATGACATGGGGCATGAAAAACCCTGTCATTTCATAGAGGGTTTGCAGGGAGAGAACATACTGCAACTGCCTTCTGCTTCTCATCTTTCTCCTTTTGCTCTTTTTCCTTTGTCTCTTTCTCCTTTTCCTGGACAGATCACGGCGGATCTAACTTTATGGATCTATATGCATCTAAATCAGACTGAAGCTGTTCCTGTCATTCTCTAGCAGCCTTGCGCTCACCCCAAAATCCGAAGAACATGGCAGACCCTTTCATTTCATAGAGGGTTAGCAGGGAAAGGAGATGCTGCAGCTGCCTTCTGCTTGTGTTCTTTTTCCTTTTTATCTTTCTCCTTTTCCTGGACAGATCATGGCGATTAGATTGAACCTGTTCCTGTCATTCTCTAGCTGCCTTACGCTTAGCCCAAATGCCGAAGAACATGGCAGACCCTGTCATTTCATAGAGGGTTAGCAGGAAAAGGAGATGCTGCAGCTGCCTTCTGCTTGTGTTCTTTCTCCTTTTGCTCTTTCTCCTTTTCCTGGACAGATCATGGCGGATCTAACTATATGGATCTAGATGCATCTAAATTAGATTGAACCTGTTCCTGTCATTCTCTAGCATCCTTACGCTCAGCCCAAATGCCGAAGAACATGGAAGACCCATGAAGACCCGTTCATTTGTAGAGGGTTAGCAGGGAAAGGAAATGCTGCAGCTGCCTTCTGCTTGTGTTCTTTCTCCTTTTTCTCTTTCTCCTTTTCCTGGACCGATCATGGCGGATCTAACTATATGGGTTTACATGGATCTAAATGAGATTGAACCTGTTCCTGTCATTCTCTAGCATCCTTATGCTCAGCCCAAATGCCGAAGAACATGGAAGACCCTTTCATTTCATAGAGGGTTACAGTAGCAGGGAAAGGAGATGCTGCAGCCGCCTTCTTGTGTTCTTTCTCCTTTTGCTCTTTCTCCTTTTTCTCTTTTTCCTTTGCCTGGACAGATCATGGCGGATCTAACTATATGGATCTACATGAGATTGAGCCTGTCACTGTTCCTGTCATTCTCTAGCGGCTTTACTCTCAGCTCAAAAGCAAAAGAACATGGAAGACCCTTTCATTTCATAGAGGGTTAGCAGGGAAAGAACATGCAAAGCAGGATACCTCTGCAGAAGGTGCTGCTTTGCTTTTTTCAGCCGCCTTCTGCTTTGCGTCGTCCTTGTTGTCCTGGGCTGAGCTGACTACTATATGTCTCATTCTCTTGTATTCCACTCAGAAGACCCAGTCATTTCATAGAGTGAAGGTAGTGGAAATTCTTTATGCTTTCATGTACTTCTGCAGGCAGAGTTCCGGTGCCTGAACCTTTGTTTTTGGCCTGGCATCGCTAATCCTCAAAGTGAACTGCCACGTCTCCTCTTTCCTGGGATTGATGCGCGCAATGAATTATGTCCATTTATATTCATATATTTTCAGATATTTTCCATGAATTTCCATGAATTTCCTGACACAAAATCAGACCAGCGTCTCATTCCAGAAGTAGTGATGGTGAGATTTTCTTCCATTTGCTCCCACCATTGAGCATCGCGTAACTGAGCATCGCGGTGAAAATCTATCCGTCATGATAAACCATGAATTTGCTAGAATCTCAATCATATTCTACTCTTTGAGCTATGGCACCCCAAGTTGATCTTTGGGAATCCCAGATCGGCTTTTCCACCTTCTCCGCACACATCGCAGCGGAGCAAACGTCTGGCCATCCCGGGGGTGGAGGCATTCCCCCGTCCAAAACGAAGCTTCCTGAAAGATTTGAGCCAAATGCTTCTTGGTTGGCATATGTTTACTATGTCATATTCTACCAAGCCATCCCCTCTATAAAATGCTCTTCTGTCCGAAGTGAGTCTCTATAGAATGCAATCAGCCAAAAAACAAGTGGCAAAAAAAATGCAAATGTACATCTATAAAACGACAGGGTCTTGCAGCAACATCTCAACAATCATGCCTCTATTTTTGCCTTTCTATAAAATGCATAGGGCCTGTCCAGGCTCAAAAAAACCCTCTCTATAGAATGACCCCCTGATTTTGGGCCCTAGGGCCTCCCATTTTATAGGCCTTTCTCGGACGGGGATTATATGTGTGTGTATATTTAGACATCCCTAGTGGAAACCAACTTGACACATCTTGATAGTATTGGTTGACATCAATGGCGTTTGTGAATGTGTGTATATATTTACACAGGTGGGCCACCTCACCACACGCACCCCTCCCCGGCCCCAGCAAGCAAAAGCAGCAGCAGCAGGCAGCAGCAAGCGCCAGGGAAGGACGTGGGCCACCTCGCCACACGCACCCCTCCCCGGCCCCAGCAAGCAAAAGCAGCA